GGACCATGAAACGATTTTAAAATCTAAGTTGATCCGACGCACATCGTAAAGGGTGTGAAAAGAAACCCAAAGACACAAAAATAGAGAGCCAGAAAATATTCTTCGCCATAGAACTTTTAAAATAAAACCGGACTCTTTTACACCTTCTTTCCTTCGAAAGCTATCTGCCTTTTCACTGCAATGCATCCGCGGAACCGCAGCACGTCAGCCAAATCTACGTCGCCTATTGGGCAGCAGTCTACCTCACCAGCACCGCAATCATAAACAATAAATAGCCGGCGAATGTTTCCTAAAAGTTTTGTTAAATAATATTCCGATCCACATTTTGTAGCATATTAGAGGTGTGACGAAAATTGACAAATTTAATAATGCTCAGAGCCAAGCGCCATCTATCGTGTGGTAAACGAAGCAAGAGAAAGACCCAACTGCGCCTAGGCAGTCAATCCCCGAGCGTCGTCTGCTGAACAGGTTTTCTCCTGGTCGCGTTTACTTCGCAGAGCAGACTTTCGTTTCCTGGCTGCTCGAGTAGTGTTTACATTGTTTGTGATCGATCGCTCGATCACTATGCCGAAAAACTGCAGTGTATTGAAGTGTCCGAAGTACAGTTTCTGCAGTCCGGTGGTTAAAAAGAAACCGTTGCAGTTTCACCGCTTGCCACTCGATGAACCACGTTGAGCACTTGCTGCAGGCTCATCGGTTTGAGGGACCCCGGGTTCAAAGTCATTCGCGTATGCTCGGAAGATTTTGACACCAAGCGTGATTACAGCCACATTCACAGTGTTCTCCGCGAATGCTGGCAGGTTCCAAAAGCCCTCTGCCGATTCCAGTGAAGAACTGGAGTCTTTGCCGCGCTTCCCAACAGTCATACCGGCGTACGGGGCAAGTCCCATGCTGTCGCTGTAGCGCAACATACCTAATTGAATTTCGCTGAGCTGCGATGTGTCCATGGCTATCGCGGCGATGAGAGGCGCCGATTCAGAAAATATGTCGGTGGCATCAGCGCCATCAGCGCAGTAAAACCTACCGGCACACCGCCAACTCGCTGCCGTTTGCGCTTCCATTCTCCTACTGCCGAGAAAACTTCCAGTTCCGATGCCTGCAGACGTCACGACTGTCAAAACTACGCCGCAGCTTGTTTTGCAATGAGTTTGAGAGGAAGGAAAAGTCAATCTTTCATTAATTTTTTGTGTAGAAGTTAATAAACCGAAACGAAAACGGATGCCTGTTCTGCATTAAGTGAACATTGATGGTTTAATGTAAAAGTTATTTGGCAAAAGTAAAAAGGTCATTTCATGGTCCCTTTAAAGGGACACTGACACCCCCCAAAATTTTTTTTTAATTTTTTGCCAGGCGCTTTATTATGGTGTCGGAGGACTACCCAATTAATATTTTACAACAGAGTAGCGTATTTTATTAATAAAGCCAAAAGACGCAACTGCTCGAAACCGAAACCGAAACCCGACGGAGGTCGGAGAAGTGGAGAGAAGAGAGTGAGTGGCGGAAGTCACGTGGCTACACCCGACCGTGTGTTTTTTTTGTTGTTGTTTTTTTCTCCTTCCCGGTAGCAGACGACATGCGGCGTACGGGAACTGTTCGCCGTGGAATTCTTTTGCAGCTATGTATGTTCCGCTCGTTGTTCTGTACTCCAAGATGAGTGGTCTTGTACATTGAGTTGGAGATGAGTATTGAGTGCCCGTGGTGAATTTTGATCGGCTCCGAAAAGAATACACCCAAGATGTTGCGTGAAGAGCTGGCTCACATGTCCTGCGTCCGAAACAGAAGTGGCATTGTGCGACAGAGTTTCCGAAAGGTCAACGGGATCGGGACCAATGGCTGGCTGCAATTCCTGTAGAACATATACGGGCACCTCGAAAATTGGACGCTACCCGATTTATATGCTCCTTGCATTTAGTGGAAAGTGATTACATTGAGTTCACAGGTATCAAAAAGGAAATCCCATACCATTTAATTCAGCGACGTGTCGTCCGCAACATTTGTTTCTTATTATTTTTTTTTGTTTCTTTCTTCAGTAATAATTGTAAAAAAAAAACGAAATGTAGACATCGGAAAATATTTGGAAAAAAAAAAAAAAAAAAGGTTTCACGGGGGATTGAACCCGGTCCTACCGCGTGTGAAGCCGACGTCTTTCCCACTGAGCTACTGGGGCAATCGAAATTGGGGGATCTCTTTCCTTAGTAATAATTCAGCTGATAAACTGTAAGTTGGAAAGTTTGCTGCCGATTTTCCTCTAGCAAAAGCACTCCCGGGTCGAAGTCGGGATGCGCCACGCATTGGCAACATTCTCACCTAGCAAAGAAATCGTGCGCGTGCATATTCAACTCGAAGTAGACACGTCGTGCTTGACGTTTGCGCGAGCGATGTCTTCAGCCACGAGAAGGGAGCGACGGCTCGGCGACGTCTTCGTGCAAATCGGCTTGGTGGTCGGGCGTGTCGTACGGGATGAATAGGCTACCAATTCTTTTGACCAGTCACAAATTTCTTTTTTTAAGGCAGACAAAATTCGCCGGTACCGTGAACGACAGTTCTGAAATACAGGTCCCACGCCCGTCGTCCGCTGCCATCGCCGTCCCTGCGAGTTCCACGATACGCGAAACGACGCACGCACAGAATGCTTCCGGTTGTCTGTGGAACTTTTTTTTCAATCAACGTATTTGCAGCTTTTTAAAAGCCACAAAAAACGGGTTTCATATTTTTTTTTTCCATTTTAATATTGAGTGTGTGCCTTCAGTGACCCACGACTTTGATTAATTTTGGTGGTCGCATCGATACCTTAGAAAATGGCCCGTGACCGCGAAAAAGAGAGTGAGCGAGACTCAAACCGGCCGGTTCTTGATCGGCGGTTTTCGGGCGGAAAGAAACCGAATTTCGAGCCGCAAATTCTGTTCTGGGTAGTTGAGCTCTCATATGTCACGTACAACTAAAAACCTCGGCGAGCATAAATACCCTGTCAGTGTCCCTTTAAAGTGAAATTTATGCCAAAAAGTGGAACAGAGAAAAACGCGTTCAATATGCTCATACCTCTACCTTTTCTTTTGCATTGTTGGACTGAAAATAATTTGTAAAAAATAACTTTGCAGTGTAAACAAATAAACTTTCTGGAAATACTCTCTAGATGTTGGTGGATGTAAATGTGTCATTTTTCAAGATAGACTTTTTTTTGCGGAAATTTCTTTTTTCTGGTACTGTCCCCCCTTTACCCATTCGCTACCAACGCCGGCGAATCGCTGGGCGTGCCGTCAGGGGCCATATTGCCAAAGCCAGCGATTCACCGGTCTGCATGAATTTCTGTTTTAAAGAGCCATTCATAGATGGCCTTACAATAAAGGGTGTGACTGAGAGAGGCGGGCACGTAGAGATCTAATTGTACATGTAAGGTTGGTCCTACCCAAGAAAATAGTTTACTTAACTGAAAGTTCACTAAACTGAATATATTCACTGGAATATGGAACAGCATAGGGCACAGTATACATTGAGTTAAAAGTGTGAAATGCAATTTATTGAGTCATTCATATCGATATATACAAAGTTCATAACAGTTGCATTGCTGCCTTTCTCATTTTGAATAAAAATCTAATTTTCATTTGCACTGGTGCTCTTAAAGCACTTGAACTAACAATGCTGTCCAGAAAGTATGTTTTTTTGCACTTCTTCTGGTACAACTTGTTGCTGTGACGATGCCATGCTGCAACGGCATCGTCCACTGGCTTGCATTATCCCGTGCAGAGTCGTTTCCTGTTGCGATCAAACGCAGTTTCTCCTTCAAGCTTCGACTTTTGCTTCACTGTCGTTAACGACATCAACGGTGGAATTTCATAGTCCTTCGCAACGTCCACTTGCCTTTGACCGTTGTCCAGACGCTGAAAGATTTTGAGCATGTCTGATAGAGACAATCGCTTCCGTTTCGTCGCACTCATTACGAAAATGGGCAGACAAACTGCCGTCCTGCTGTTGTTACCCAAAACTAAAATGGCCGAACCGAACCAATGACAAAGAAAAGCAGAAACACCATGTGGTTTTCCGTCTACTGCACCGCCGCTTTGCCTCGGCGGCGATGAACGCAAGCTATGATACGCCGCCGCTGCAGAGGCGTCGGCGGCGGGCATCGGCTACGCCAGCACTGCAGATCAGGAAGCTTCGTTGAACTGATTGTAAAAATTATCCTGGGTCCACCGATCAAGTCTGTTGAACTGAAATATTCACTATTCCGAAATTCATTAATTCGTTTAACTGAACCATTTTTGCATAGAATGCACAGGAAAACCGCCGGGGATTTTTTAAAGTTCGTTGTTCTGAAATATTCGTTAAATCGACATTCGCTCAAGTGAGAGTTTATTGTATGCAGCATGGTTTCGTTTTGCTCGGGTCCTCACTGCTTACCTTCGGTAACGGCCGTGCGGCATCGCGCCAGTCGCGTTGCAAGGAGTGTATAGTGCTCATTACAGGCCACTTTACATTTGACTGTGTGTTCCCCATGGCACAATGTTGTATATGAAAGAGATATCCAAGAATATTTTCAGTGCTCAATGAAACGGACCAGTGGAGCGCGTGTGCTTGTGCGTATTCAGACACTAGCAATGCCTAGAGTAATTAAAAGGCGGAGCTATATTACTTTATGCTAGAGTAAGTGTGTATGCTAGCTGTATGCTCAAGGGCAACTGTATACGCTTTTATGCAGAGCATATGCAGTTACTCTAGCGGGGGGGGGGGGGGGGGGGGGGGTACTCTAGCGAGGTCTTTTTTGTTTCGTTGAACACTGTACATGTAACTCATAGGCCTAGAAAGGCTGTTGCAGTCTTTGTTATGCACACCTGCGATCGATACGGTATAACGGCTGCACAAAAGCTGCAAGTTTACAAGAGACTTCGCGTTACTGCCCACAGCAACAGTGAAAACTGGTCACCGTGCCACCGGCTGTCGTTTGAATAAAGAGATAGCATTCTTTATTTTAATCACCTTCATTTGTGTGTGCTTTGTTTTAGGGCATAGAGCAGCTCAAGAAGGAAGTGGCTCGGTGGCAGAAGCGCTCGCCCTGGCGTAGCATGCGCTCAGTCTTCGGCCGCTTCTCTCTTTCGTGGTTCTCACCCTTCACCTCGACTGGGGACAGCGTTCCTGTTCCAGGCTACCTCTACGCAGTCTAGCGACACAAGCCACCTGGTGAGCAGATGCGATCACATGGTGTGATTGGATCAGTGGCAGCAAATTACTCTTTCACTTTTGCACTGCCATAAAATTTTATTAAATAGTGAGCCCTAGAAAGGTCATTATCTCTTTATTTTAGCCAAGTATCTTGTGCAAGGTAAGTAATAAAACATTGTGCATCTCTGTAAATTGTTGCTATGTTAGGTGCTCACACCGTAGTTATCACATTACCGCCAAAATTAATATAAATGATAACACTGAGGATGCAAAGGCTCACTTTGATGTTGAAATTCAGGAGGGGGGGCTGAAAAACGGAATATCATGATTTTGAATGTGATGAAATTAAAGCAGGGACTGAAAACAACAAACTTTAATGGTTTACCGTTTTAGAAAGAAAATATTAAACTGCACATTATTTCACTCACAGCAACTGTCTTGTGCATGAATTAACTCGGGGACTGTTTACTGCCTGAGGTGTGAAAAGTGACACCAGAAAACACAAGTGTGTTATATGCGATATCTGTTGTATGGAATAGTTGCTCGTTTAATGTGCTTATTAGTATTAGGTATCTGTGTGCTAATTGCTGTTATTTTTTTTTTTGTAAGTTTACATGACCAGACATTAAAAGATTAGTAATCACTGAATATTTTTCATTATTTATCTTTTTCTCTAGGCTTGTATTTTTTCACGATTTTATGAAATCAATTTTCATGTTGACAATATTTGGTTCTCTCTTATGTGAGTATAGCCTTAGATTGTGTGCTGAAAGCTAGGCATGTAAGGTCTGTCACAATTTGATGCTTCAGCATGAATTTCTTCAAAGTTATTTTCTTCAGAAACAATTTGTGGCTGGAGGCCATCCTTCTAACCTTAAAAGAATAGCTGGAAGTATTCTTCTGTAAAGTCTTTAGTGTGTTGGTTACAGCTCTTTCTGGAGGCTGCTGGTTGTCTCAAAAAGTCGTTGTAGGCAGCGCTTGGTATATGGGTTGAGAAAAAAGTCACAGAAAGAATGATTTGGAAAATATAGGGCTGCAGAAGCACCATTATGTTCTTCCTTGTCTGTCAAAAACTTGTCTTGTTAAACAAATCATTATGTCGGGGCACACACACTACCTTGATGCAGAAGACAAGTCTCGACGTTATCTGGCTGGACAAGCAAAACACTTCTTGCAGCGACAGCTGTTAGTGGGAGCCTCCCCGGGAAATTGCAAGGTCGTCCTTCACGAAAACTTTTGGTGACAGTGTCAATCATATGATTGTTCCCAGCCGCCGCTGCTGACTTCATGAGGAAACAAAAAGTTCCGTCCATTGAGCAGGATTCGAACCTATGGACAATGAACTATGGATGACAGCAATCGTTTTCTCTACACTCTTTTGCTCTACCAACCAAGCTATGGATGGGACAAAATTCAGTGATTTAAAGGCGGTATACATTCCGTTTCTTTCTTCCTTCGATAAGTCTTCGGTGTCTCATGTGCCACGAGCATACACGCGACGCCAGAGCATGGCAAAAGGTAACTAGCTTGTGCTAAAGGCGAAGCATTCGAAAGAGGTGCCTTGCCCTTCCCACCTTGTCAGTGACTATTGGAGGAAGGGGGGGGGGGGGAGCAGACATGCGACGCCTAAAGAGGGAGCGCCGCTGTGCCCTGGAAGCATATTCGCAGCGTCACCGACGGCTCGTGTGAGTATTACTACAGTGGCTTGAAGGGGTAGTGTAATGAACAAAACCGGAGAAGCGGCACAGTGTTGGAAGACGGCCGCAGGTGGTGCTGGCGCTTGCAGCCCCGTCGTTCGGCTATGGCTCCGGCTTGGCCGCTTGGCCAGCTTGGCTTTGGCCAGCTCCGGCCGATTTGCAGCCACTGTCGTCTGCTAGTTTCAGATTTTTATTCACCTACGAACACAAACCATGTCGTTGGAAGTTCACTGGAAGCAAATAATTGTTTTGAGGTATTTATATTCGTTATGAAGCGTGTTTGGGTGCCTCTGTCTGCCGGCCGATGGAGGCACCCTAACGGAGCTGCAGATCGAACCGCCACCTACACAGTATTCCAAGGAGCAGCCGTTCTTGATGCGTAATGGAGGCTATGTGGTAACTAGACTAACCCCTTTAAGCCACTGTAGTATTACTTTGCGTGCAGACACGGCGTCTGCTTCTCCACATCCCAATGCGACTGCCGTGTCCGTGTATTGCCACAACTGCATTCCTTAATCCGATGCCGGAGTGAAGGTTTTGTATCTTCATATTCTAAATTCGTGTGATACGACCTGCAGGACAGGCTTGAAGCTCAGGTTCAGTCGTGTCCTTGCAGTGTTACCATCAACGACGATAACTGGGCGCCATGTTTTTCGTGCTTCTGCACCTCTACGATGCTTGCATCTTGGTTGACCGTTGGGCAACTACTACGGAACAACATATACCAGTCTCAGTGATTGATAAAATGTATGTGAGGAGTCGTCTTCTCTCCTCATTATATCGGATTGCTCTGGGCTCGCTGGCGAATCGAGGACAGCCTACTGGGAATGAGATGATTGCGGCTGTTTCCTTCGATGAATGAAAGGAATTTGTGTTTTCAATTTCTATCTCTGGTGTAAGAGAAGTTAGCACCGATTGTGGCGGCGAATGTTTCTGTAGCATGATGCTCAGGTAAACATGCATTGGTTAGAAACGACTGACGCAATGCTTGCTGTCTGTCGGCGGATATGCATGCAAAATGACTCTGCTAGAAGGCACACCGCAACCCCACAGGCTGTAGTTGACACCCTGTTGTGCCGGTGCATGCGCACGACCATCCAAGCAGACGGACTTGCACTCCGTACGGCTAAACCTCGGCAAGTCTGTAGCGGGTCCAAAAAGCGGGAATTTCAATGGCACGCTGAGGATGCTTGTCGTAGACAAAGTATGAATGAGGCACTGGAACAGATTTGAAAGCGGAAGCGAAAATGGCACAAAAATCTTGAGGATCGTGCTCAGGAGGTGCTGAAGAAACAACAACGGTGCCACAACGATAGAAATTATGCAAGCGCCGAACTGCCGTTGCTGTGGCACACGTTACGCAGTAACTTAAATGCACTCGGGTTTTTTTGTAGATACTTGAGGACTTTGTGGCAGTGAAGTGCCTGGAAGGCTGTTTCTGAATGCCACATTTAGCATTCTGTATCTCCCAAGTGTTACATCCATGTTCACAAAATGATGTCCTAGGGCCCTCGGATGAAATGGGTTAGAGTAGATTATCAACTTGCCAAGCGGTATAAACACCTGCGGTGCTCCGTCTCTATTTTAGAAACCAAGCAGCTCCGTCTCTGAACTACAATAGTCGTTTAGGGAGCTTTGGGAAAACATACTTAACCCTTTGACGGTCGTGTTTTTTTTTTTTTTTTCCTAAAAGATGTTTTTCAGTCTCTGGGTTTTGTTTCCAAAGGAATACATAGCATAAGGAAAGAGTCAATGTGCATGTTTTTTTTCTTAATTAGCTAGCAGGAATACATTCAGTGCTTTCAAGCTGTTCATGATTAGAAGCATCAAATGATAGTTTTTAAGACGAAAAGTATTCACCTTCCATTCAGTTTCATTTTGATGCGTCCGCTTCCGCAACATTCCGGCAGCTTGAGATTCCTAACTAGAGGTGCTTTACAGTGCTTCTTCATCGGTTATGAGCTCTCATCCTCTTAATCTAATTCCGGAAAGCATTGGAAGTCTGAATTGGAAGAGCCGGTGCTCCCATCGGGCACTACCGTCAGAGCAGCCGTTGTGAGAGGTGAGCATCACGTGTGCAGAAGATCTAATATGAAAGCTATAACTAGTCAGCAAAGCAAAAAAACTATGCAAATATAATGTTTATAGCTTGCCAAAGACATAACAAATGGCAACACTTTCCGCGGTGTGCGCAGTTTTGCGTTTAGGCAGGCACTTTCAAATGTGTAATCACCGCCGTACATTGACAGGGGCGGCCGTCAAAGGGTCATCGCCTTGGCTATTAATCACGACTGTCGCCCGTGCTGTCCAACGGTTCAGAAAGCCTGGCCGCGAATCTGGCTCATGTTTCGAAGCTTGTTTTATGCACTTGATGGCAGACAGCTACACCACCACTATTGCTCTGCCCCCTTCAGCTTGTCTTGTTGTTTGTTTCAAATTTTCACCAGGAGAGAAAGGCGAGATGGCCTCAACAGAGATGTCTACTTTAGCTGATGAGGGAAAACGATAACTTATATTCGAAAGTGATAATTGCCCTACCATTTCCACCACCTCTCTTACGACTCCAAAGCTTTATTTAAAATCGGCAATTTTCTCAAAAATTAAAGGAAACATTCACTTGACCTCCGGATGTTGTTTACTGCTCTCTACCCTCCTCAATATTTCTAACAGTACTGCACAGTGAAGAGCTACTAAATGGAGACATTAGATGGCCAATAAATAATAGTGAGAGCAACAAACAACACCTGGAGTCCAATTGAATGTTTCCTTTTTTTTGTGTATATCGCTGATTTTAAATAAAGTGTTGTGGTATGTTTTATGAAAACAAATTAGTATGCAGTGGGTTAAGTGAGTGAATCTTCTTGAATAAAGCAGTTGCCTGTGATAATGAGCCGAGTCAGCTCCACAAAGTTGGAAGGTTTTTGGTTTCCTTTGGTAAAAGCAGTTTGGCTCGAGTTTCTTAGTCTCCTTGTATTATTTACACTCCTAATCAGGTGAATGCTCGTCAAAGTAAAGGGTGGCCACAGTAAATCCTAGGACTGAAACAAACCGAAAAAAATCTGCGCTTGCACTTAAAAAGCTCAAACTTTCACCGAATCTGCATCAAAGTAGTGGATTTTACCTTGTGAAATTTGAGGGCATAACTCCCTTCCTGCGAAAAGGAGAGCAGCAGACTTTATAGGGTCAGCGGCGGACATGTTCGCAGACAACCGAGTTAGCGACACTTGTAACTTGTGGCACTATCTCCCTAGAGTTACAGCGAGGAAAGGCGAGAGTGTGTCATCTGCTCGCTGTGTGTATCGGGAGATTGAGCCAACTATCACAAGTGTCACTTACTCGCTAACCTGTGAACATGTCCACCGTTGACCCTGGCAAGTTTGTTGCTATAATTTCTGATGGGAAGGGAGCTATACGCCTTGAAATTTCGCAAGGTAAGATCCACCACCTAAAGGCACATTCAGTGGAAGTTTGAGCCTTCTATGTACAGGCGCCGACTTTTACAGTTAGTCTTACGGTGCTAGCATCCACTGGGGCCACCCTATATTTACTAGGGGTGTGCGAACAATCCTTTGAATTGAATAGCACAATGCCATCTCTCGCTTCAACACTGCAAAGGAGACTGGCCTGTTTTTGCTTTCTCTTGCACTCTGGAGGCTACGAATGATGCATTGCTATTTGATTCAAACTACTGTTTACATTGCCTTAGCGTTTACTTTCAGAGTTAAATGATGTATTTCCTCCATTTCAAAACTGTCGCAAATCTTTTATTAGTGAGGACTACCAGTCAGAATAAGGATAGGACAAAACTCCTTTAAACAATGAAAGCACAATTTAAATCATGCAATGTTTGCCTACATCATTCAGGGAGATGGAAAGAAAATACATGAAGGTAGTGGAGAGATGGTCCATTTAGGGAATTATAAAGTCTTATTGGCCACTATACTTTAAAGATACGATGGAAGAATTTCCTTGCAAAGTATATTTTGTCATGATTTCAGAAAAAAAAAAAAAGATACCAAATTTAGAGGTTACTGCTTTCGTGCATGTAGAAAAAAAGAAACAATTGTAGCCAGTTTAAATTGCTAAAAGTAGGCTTTGTATTCAACAGCATACTGTAACAAGTCACTCCAGCTGCCGTAATTTCGGAATTTTGGGTGTAAAAAGCATGGGTGAAAGGATCCACTGATTTGTATGGTTTTTTATGTTTTTTGTATTATTATATATTCACATTCTCTATTTTAATTTAGTTGCCTTTTTTTACAGCATTACAACTGTCTTTTAGGTGCTCTAAACTAATCAATTTCCATCGCATTATTTTGCTTGATTTGCTTATGTTGAAGTTGTCCTTTAATCACCCCTACATTCCAATGCAGGTGCACTTTGTTGGCGACAAACATGGAAACTGAGGGTCATCATATGCTGGAAGCCCTGTGTCTTGGAGCGAGCCAAGTGGTGCAGTTCAGACCAATAGTGGAGAGCTCTGGGTGCAGTCTGGACATCAATGGTTCTTCCTGTGCTTCTGAGTGACACGGCGTGCAGGCCCACAGCATTTCCCACTCCTGAGTGTCTGTGTTTCGCACCTGCTTCACATGTGATAGTTAGAGCTTGCTTTCAATACCTGCCAAGGACACTTTGTTGGGTTAAAGTTTAACTGCAGAGTTAAAAAATGAGAAGTAAATGTAAATTTTCGGGGAATACTGCTCGTAGCCCTTTCTCTGACATACCTTATTTACTCGAGTAATAGCCGTGCTGTATATGAAGAAAACCTGAGGGTTCGCTTTCCTGCGGAGCATGTGGCTTGCCAATCACCGTGATCGGCAGCATGATTCCAACGGTTTACAGGACAGAGATAACGTCTTTGCGCGAAGATACCCCTTATGAAGATTGCATTTGTTTGGAGAATCGTATTCTCGATCTAGTTATTCGCTATGTTATTTATGTGCAAGGCGATGATTGGCTGTATATGTGCTCTGCGGTAAAGCAGACGCAAGGGCCTTGTTCATAAATAGTGCGGCTATTACTCGAGTAAATATGGTATTTCTTATCGGTTTTCTTGATTGCTGCTGGAGACTGTAGTGTTCAAGACATTTCTCAGTAGTTTAAAGTCTTGCAGTTGCTTTAAAATTTGCTTTGGTATATTGTTTTTCTTATTTATTTATTTTTTCGGGAGAAGGGCTGTATTTCGGTAGCTGTTGCAAACAAGCTTCAAATATGTGCTATGCCGCATAGAACGGGGCACCACCGATTTTGAAGAAAGACACCATTCCTTCTTGGAGATTACATAAGTGTGCAGTGTGAATGGTGTGCAGGACAAGTGTTGCAGTTTCGAACTGCTTCGTGTGGACAACCTGGTTGGCTGGTTCGCTTTCGGGCTTGCTGCGCATGTGGAACATCTCGTATGAAGACATGAGTCTAGTTTTGTGTCTGTGCCGCATTGTCAAACAGAATCTTTTTTGTGGACCGTCGTCCAACATGGCCATGTATTGTTTTGTACATAACTCCATTTTAAAAGAAGGGCTTCTCTTGAACGAAGTTCGAACGCCTGTGTTACAAATCACTCAATGTTATGGCAATCATCCGAAAATATTGCCTCTGTGAATAAAGTGGTTGGGGGAAAATGTTCTGGCTCTGCCATGTGCAATGGTCATGATGCAAGCCCAGGGACGCCGGAATCGGGTGTGCAGGAGGGGGGGGCCAGAGCACCCCCAAGTGCATATTCTTATGGCGGGGGAGATCAGTCCCCTCATAAGAATGCTTGGAAGGGAGACGCTAGGTGCTCACGCGAGGATAGTAAACAAAACTGATCGTAATATCTGCGAAAGATAAAATTTAGTTCATAAACAATAAAAAACAAGAAGGAACACTTGGTTTTGGCCCCCCCTCCCCCATCCCACTCCCCCTATTCAAAATATACTTCCGGCATCACTGTGCAAGCATCAAAAAGTGCTGTGAAAATTGGGGTGTCTGTACACTGATGATACCCCTGAAAATCAGCTAACAAATTAAGTTTGTATGTGATAAACAGTTTAAAAGCTTCAAGATGGTATTTTAAAGGGCAACTGTACTTAATTTTTGTTGGTGACAAAAACAAATTCTGTGGTTCAGGGTCATCTAAAACCACAGCTAAAAAAAATGATTGTTCAAGTGCATCTACGCTGTTTCTTAGATTGGGTCTCAAAGTCTCAAACTGCGAGCCAGCCGAAGCTGTTACCTTAGCGCGAAATAAGAGGCGCAACTATCAATGATGCTAACTATGTCACGTACATTGCATTTTTTATATACCTATATTTTGCCAGACTTTCGGCAGTGTTGACATTGGGCGTATCTAAGCTCGCTGGATCTCTGAATATAGTCTGTTTAGATTCATCAAGGGTAGGCTGGCCATAAACTTCGGGGTAGAAAATGATACACAAAGAAGGGGGGGGGGGGAGGGGAGGGGAGGGAGGGAGGGAGGGAGGAGCTTTGCTGCGTACAATTCAGCTCAGTGTAAAAACGCAACTGCCTTTCTTCCCCCGTTTTAAACAATGAGGTAGTAATGTCAACTACAGCATGCCAAGTTCAGTCATAAAAAAATGTTTCGGCTAGCTCTATGCGAACAAAATAGGTTTTCAGACGTAATCGCAGGGAGCTCAAAATTGTATATCCTTTTGAAGGTATCATATTTATAATACTTTTTAATAAAATAGTGTCAGTAACAAGTAAACAATTTTTTATTTTCTTCTGTTTCCTTCCTTTTAATTATATGCGTTCCCACAAAAACGGGACATGAGGCTTCATTGAGACAAAATGATGGGACGGCAGAAGTGACCCCCTAAAACAGGACTGTTCCCGCCGAAATGGGACATCTGGTCACCCTAATTGGGGTGCGAGGCTATGGTTTTCCTGAACATGGTTGTAAACCTGAGACTGGGGTAGGAAAAAGAAAACACAAAGGAAGACAAAAAAAGAACAGGCAACGTCTCAAACTCGGCCACAAAGTTTGTTTCGTACACGCTTTTATACCACGTCTCCAACGCCGTCACTACAATCACCAGAAGCAGCAAAACCCTGCAACAACAAAACACATTAGAACAAGTAAAAAAAATGCATAGTTCTTAATTTTGGCTACAAAACGTTTACACAAAGGGTTACAGTTCAGCACAACCAACATCTTGCCCTCCAAGAACGAACCAAAAGTGACTAAAACTGCTTTCTCTAACAAACCACACAGTTAAAGATACACACATAGACACTGCTAACACTTCAGAACTGCCTACTCGAATCCGCGAACTTGTAACAACCTACTACCTTCCTAAAAAAAAAAAAAAAAACTTTACAAACGCAGAAATTGTTTACACTCGTTCCCAAACTGCAATGACGCCTGACTTATACAGTTATCAGATGTCTTTATGCGAACTGTTTCTTGAACTACACGCTTCATATTACGTTCTTCGTGAATTACTTTCGTTTCGGACCAGTTCGCTTTACATGCATGCCATTCCTGAAGGTACCTGGCTAACTCGGAGTTGGAAGCGTTGTTTCTCACATTTTGTTTGTGTTCAATCAGTCTCGTTTATACACCTCGAAGTCTGACATACATATTTAAACCCGCACTCCTAATGGATCTCGTAAACCACAGATTTCTCACACGTAACAGACCTTTCGCGATGTCCCTTCTGTCATTCTTTCTGTCCTAATTCAGAAAGCGTAAGTTTGCATAACTTGAAATCGGATGTGAACACTCTCCACTCCAAACTTCATTGCAGATGCTTTTATGTTATAAGAAATATTGTGGGATAGCAGCTCATCGGCTCCTCGCACTTTGTTCATCCTGAGTTGAATGGAAAGTTGTCGTTTTAGAAAAGTTTCCTCAAACCCCGCACCCTCTAACCTTCCCCAGTGCCTTTCTAGTGCTTGACTGATGAAATGCTTATAAGACCTTTTCATTGCATTACCAATCAATGATCTTGCAACTCCCGCTTTAGCATCCTTAGAGTGACAACTTTGTTTCGGAAGCACCGGTTTAGCCATTTTCTTACCATGTTACCAACATCAACCATTTTTCACCTGAATGCTTAAGCCCAAAAACTGCAACATGTTCTCTGTTTTTTTTATTGTGAGAAGTCAAATTGGAGTTTTACGTGCCAAACCAACGACGGGCATCTGGCACGCCCCAGCGGAGGACTGAGGATTAATTTGGACCACCCGGGGATCTTTTGACGTGCAACCGAAAGCTCTGTTACACGGCACCTCCTCCGCAATCAGCCTCCGTCAGATTGCGGGCACCTCGGCCGGGATTCGAACCCGCCACATGGGGATCCGTAGGCTAGTGCTCTCGCCTCGGAGCCACCGAGGCGGCTTCTTCTACTGTGAATTGCAACTCTAGGGCCATTGACCTTATCAGCTTTTCAGGATAGTCTGACTTCCCAACTTCCCATGCTCAAACGTGCAGACAAGCTTATCGACAAATCTGATGAAGCCCACATCCCGCGTCAACTCAATCATCTTGTCAAACAACACTCTATCTAGGCTGTTCAGGTATATCTCGGCTAACAACAGTGCAACCCATGAGCCTGCAGATACCTTCTTTTGTGTGTATTTTCGATTATTGTATTCGGGGACTGTTGATTTGAAAAAGAGATCCAACACGAAGCGGAAGCATTCCACTGACACGCCCGATTCTGATTGAAACTTTACCAAATTCAACTCTAGCACCTGCTTCACTGCGCTCATCAATCTTTTCTAGAGAACAATATAAATCTTTTATATCCATAATGAACACCGAACCCTTTCTCCCATAGTTGCTTTTCAAGATCCGAATAAACTCTAATGTAGTTTTCAACGTTAAAGAGTTATCAAGACAGACCAGACCTAACCCATGCTGTAGAAAAGACACAGCTTTTTGCCTTGTTCCGTTTTAGGGGCGAAGCTCCTTAGGGGCTAGTCATGTCCGTATGTCTGTCCGCCGTGGGTAAAGTCACTGGATCCTGGGAAAGTAGCGCCATTGCCTTCCCTACCAGCTAGCCGGACACAAACGGGTACTAACATACAGACGACCCAAACCTAGCAAGGCGATTGGCTAATCGGTATACGTTGCCATGGAAATCGCCATCTTGGTCCATTTAAATCTTCGAAGCTTCCAGGGGGTCGTTCTAAACCAGTCGCGCCAAGATTACCATGAAGCATCACCGTACTGGAGGCGTTCCTCGCCAATATAAGAGTCTTTGGCACTCTATGCGGTCAACTTATTATTCATGCCCATCTCCATAGATCTCTTACAATTATATTGTTCTTGCGTATTTTAAAACATTAAACTTATTTTTCAGTGCCTCCAAGCACCGACACAGCATCTGGAGGTGGTACGACGGTCACGCTTGTTTCACCGGTGATTGGTTAGCATAATCTCGGTATACAAAAATCCACTACATAAAGCTACCCGTCACCAGCGGATCTAGAAATTGCTCATTTCACGGACCAAGATGGCGACCACACGGGGAGCTTGGCGTTACTTTCCCAGGATGCAGTGACTTTAGCCGTGGGGTGCTCCTGCTCGTGAGCTCACGAGCACGTGAGCACGTGCTCCCGAGCTCGTGTAGGAAAAAACAAAAACAAAAAAAACCGCATCTTTACGTGGTGAGTGATGTTGATTGGGGCGAAGCTCTGGTGGGGCTTGTCTGCGTAGACGATGAGCCGCAGCATGCCGGGCCTTTCGTTCGTTTTCATCCATGTCAGAAAGAGAACGTGTGGCATGGAACGTGGTTATATACGCGTTTGAGCATTTGACCGCAGCGTGACATGGATGAGAACTAACGAAAGGCTCGGCATGTTGCGGCTCAGCGTCTACGCAGACAAGCACCACCAGAGCTTCGCCCCAATCAACATCATTCACCACGTGGAGATGCTGTTTTCCATTTACAACCACTCTAACCGCTCATTCACACTGGAAGCGGATCCGCGTTCGCAAAGCGGTTGCGAACGCGGCTGTATAAAGATTCAGTGCAATTGTACTGGATCTTTATACAACCGCGTTCGCATCCGCTTTGCGAACGCGGATCCGCTTCCAGGGTGAATGAGCGGTAACCGCTCATCCACATTGGAAGCGGATCCGCGTTCGCAAAGCGGTTGCGAATGCCGTTTTATAAAGATCCAGTACCATTGCACGCGCACTTGATGTCATCGAGATACAACTGCGTTCGCAACCGCTTTGCGAACGGGGATTCGCTTCCAGTGTGAGTGTTAAGGGGATCTCCACTTTATTGTCCTTTAGAAAAATGTTTAAACAAAGATGCATCTTGGACTGACTCATTATGCTTTTGGCAACTTGCTCCTTGTCTTCTTCCTTTAACTGTGCATATGTCTCTTCTCAACTTTGCCAAATTTCCGTTTCAGTCCTTGAACAACACGCTCTTAGCATTTTTTGTTTTGTGCTGGAATTCCTGGAATCCCGTTTAGGTGTAGTGAACCCATGTAAAATTTTGATTTCTGAAAGAACGGGAAGTTTTTTTTTTTTATTCAAATGACCTAAGTTTTGCCTTAATGTGAGGCCATCTAGACTTCATGTGTTTTCCGCTGTTCAGAACGTTGCGCGTTCGGTTGGTCATGATGAAAAGCGCTTTTGTGGATCAGAAAGCGGAAAGAT